GTTGATAAGAATAGGGTCCTGTGAGGAGGTGGGCAGAGAGGAAGGGGAGGGGCGGAAGGGTGGGGTGCAGCAGGATTGAGGTCGTGCGGCATGTGTTCAACTGTGTTGATAAGAATAGGGTCCTGTGAGGAGGTGGGCAGAGAGGAAGGGGAGGGGCGGAAGGGTGGGGTGCAGCAGGATTGAGGTCGTGCGGCATGTGTTCAACTGTGTTGATAAGAATAGGGTCCTGTGAGGAGGTGGGCAGAGAGGAAGGGGAGGGGCGGAAGGGTGGGGTGCAGCAGGATTGAGGTCGTGCGGCATGTGTTCAACTGTGTTGATAAGAATAGGGTCCTGTGAGGAGGTGGGCAGAGAGGAAGGGGAGGGGCGGAAGGGTGGGGTGCAGCAGGATTGAGGTCGTGCGGCATGTGTTCAACTGTGTTGATAAGAATAGGGTCCTGTGAGGAGGTGGGCAGAGAGGAAGGGGAGGGGCGGAAGGGTGGGGTGCAGCAGGATTGAGGTCGTGCGGCATGTGTTCAACTGTGTTGATAAGAATAGGGTCCTGTGAGGAGGTGGGCAGAGAGGAAGGGGAGGGGCGGAAGGGTGGGGTGCAGCAGGATTGAGGTCGTGCGGCATGTGTTCAACTGTGTTGATAAGAATAGGGTCCTGTGAGGAGGTGGGCAGAGAGGAAGGGGAGGGGCGGAAGGGTGGGGTGCAGCAGGATTGAGGTCGTGCGGCATGTGTTCAACTGTGTTGATAAGAATAGGGTCCTGTGAGGAGGTGGGCAGAGAGGAAGGGGAGGGGCGGAAGGGTGGGGTGCAGCAGGATTGAGGTCGTGCGGCATGTGTTCAACTGTGTTGATAAGAATAGGGTCCTGTGAGGAGGTGGGCAGAGAGGAAGGGGAGGGGCGGAAGGGTGGGGTGCAGCAGGATTGAGGTCGTGCGGCATGTGTTCAACTGTGTTGATAAGAATAGGGTCCTGTGAGGAGGTGGGCAGAGAGGAAGGGGAGGGGCGGAAGGGTGGGGTGCAGCAGGATTGAGGTCGTGCGGCATGTGTTCAACTGTGTTGATAAGAATAGGGTCCTGTGAGGAGGTGGGCAGAGAGGAAGGGGAGGGGCGGAAGGGTGGGGTGCAGCAGGATTGAGGTCGTGCGGCATGTGTTCAACTGTGTTGATAAGAATAGGGTCCTGTGAGGAGGTGGGCAGAGAGGAAGGGGAGGGGCGGAAGGGTGGGGTGCAGCAGGATTGAGGTCGTGCGGCATGTGTTCAACTGTGTTGATAAGAATAGGGTCCTGCAGGGAGGTGCGACGAGAGGAGGGGGAGAGAACGGAGGTGATTTGAGGCAATAGTGATCAAGAAAACGGGTTGCTGTGGGGAACGGGAAGGAGTGGAGAATGATGGCGCTTGTCGAATGGCGTTGCCTCCCCATCGGCATGTCAAAGATCGCTGTCCCACCATCGGCATGTCAAAGATCGCTGTCTCACCATGGCCATGTCGAATACCGCCATCTCACCATGGCCTCGCCATCTCACCATGGCCTCGCCATCTCGCCATGCACGTGCCGGCTCACCATGGACATGTCGAAGATGGCATGGAACTTGGCGCTCTCATGGCTCCACTGCAGCGACGTTTTAGTGGGGTGGGGTGGGGAGCGGGTGGAGAGTGATGGTGGGAGGGGGACGAGTGGAGTGATGGTGCTTGTGGCATACCACCATGATCTCACCATGGACATGTCGAAGATGGCATGGAACTTGGCGCTCTCATGGCTCCACTGCAGCGACCGCTTGACTCCCTTCAGCATAACCACCATCTGCTGCAATGCGTCCATGCTGCCATCTCCGCTCTCCACACCACCGTCCCCTCTGCTGCACCCTCCACTCGCCCCGTCAATCCCACTCGCCTCTCCACTCCCTGTCGCCTGCTCTCCCCTCCCAACACCCTCCTCACCCAGCTCTGCCTCCCTGGCGTCGCAGCCGCTGTCAGCGCCACTGCTGTGGACGCCGCTGTTGCTGCTCCTGCTGCTTCTTCCCGCGTGCTGCTGCTCCTCCCCCTCGTTGGAAGCAGGGCGGGTGACATTAGCGGGAGCGACTCTAGCGGGTGAGGACTCATGGTGTGAGCTGTGATGGTGCGAGTCATAGTTTGCAGCCATGTCCTGGTGAGAGGCCATGACAGGCCCAACAGAATCCTTCAACCGCTGCAGCAGGCGATCCTGCCATGGGGAAGGGAGCAGAGCGAGGAAGATAAGCAATAAACAATCTCGAAGGCGGCTGACAGGTGGAGAGGTGGAGAGAGACAATGGAGAGATAGTGGGCGAGACAGTGGCGAGACAGTGGCGAGAGAGAGTGGAGAGGCGCAGTTGAGGAGAGAGGGTGGAGAGGCGAGAGCGCCACTAACACAGTGAGCGACCTCGGTGTTGTTGTCTGTCTTGGCCAAACAAAGGCACCCCTCCGTCCGCCATCCCTCCACCCACCCCTTCCTCCCTCTCACCTCTTGCTTCCTCCGCTCGGAAATATCCAGGAAAGTGCAGAAAATCATCCTCGGCTCGCAGCCTCCGCCGCTCAGACCTTCCCGGGCTGTACACGTGGCATCGCCCTCACGAAGACTCCTCGTGGCAAGGGAGACGGACATCTCAAGCCATCGCCACTCATTGCTGCATATGCTGTATTTGACTTCCTCCTTTCTCTCATTTCCCTTCCCCTGTTCCTCCTCTCCCCTTCCCTCTCCCACCCCTCTCCCCTTTTTCCTCCCATGTCCCTCCTCTCCCCATCCCTCTCCCTGGGGCTCTCCCCTCGTTTCTCCCCCCTCATCCCCCTTCTGCTCTCGCCCATCTCCTCCTCCGAGGGCTGTCAGCCTCACCCCAACGCGCCTCTGCGCTCTGCCGCCGTCAGAGGCAGCACATCCAGCCAACACAGCCTGTGGGGAGGGGTGAGACAGGAAATATTCCGGGGAACAAGAATTGAGAACAAGGAAGATGGCGATGTGAACAATTGAGATGTGCCGAACTGTGTTGAACACAAGGGTTGGAAATGGCAGCAGAACCGACTTGGTTACTGAAGCGAATAAGGCGTGGATGCACACAGCTGCCGATAAGAAGGATCAGAGTCCGGATATGGCTCCCAAGGAACGCATGTTGGGACCTGCGAGAGATGGTGCTTGCCTGAGCGGAAGCTCTGTCTGCTGGGTGAACCAATGGCAGGAAGCTCTTTCCTATGATCTGCGTGCGTTCGCACTGCGCGCCGAGCAGGTCCAACAGCGCAGAGCTGCTCGGAAGCCATGATGTGGACAGGGAAACACGCCGGATGAATGAAGATCATGAGGATGAGAAGTCGCGGCACCACAGTGGGAACGGAACTTCAACGGCAACAAACTTGTTGGGTAAAGAAAACAGTTAAAACTGTTCGTTTCTTTTGGGTGAAGTCCTGGACTAATTAACAACCACGTCCGCTCCTCGAACAATTTATCTTGGGGCCCTGAACGAAACCATGTACCCTTCTTATTCTTAGCAGCAACATACAGCGTGGAAGCTCACTTGCACTTTTTAGCTCATCCACAGCCTTTGACCCCTACCTGCATTGCAATATTCGGTTCTCCTTCGCGTCGCTGCTGATGGTGAGCAGAGCAGCGGGAACAGCTTGAAATAGAGAGTCCTGTAAAAGTGACGAGAATGTCGACATAATTGATTCTAGATGAAGCAGCCACGGCAGCCTCGTTCTAGGAGTATACGATACTTCCGTCGTTACACCAATTTTACTTGACTGTATTTGACCAATTTCACTTTCATCGACATGATTGGTTTTCCTGTTTCAATCCTGGCTGCAACCAAATAATGAAAACATTATCGGAAGCTCTAAATTGGATGAGGCTGCTGCTATCGCAAGGACAGGGAAAACACTGGTCGTAGTAGCGCTCGGCATGTAAGCATTACCTCAACAAATGCTCAATGGAAGGGTTTGTTGGTCAGGACAGGACAGGAGCAACCCTAGCAGATGCAGCTCATTCCACACAAGCAGTATGGGCGCAGAAACAAACCATTCCTCAGGGATCTGCTCTGTGACAGCAGCAAGACCTTCCTGATTCCGTTCTGCTACGTGTATCGACAATCTGAGAAACACTCGCAGCAGCCCTCCAAAATAGCAGATGGGTCCAACGAACCCAATGCAAAGCAGTTTGCGAGGCGGGGGATTCCAATCGAATTCGTCAGGGGACTTGATGCCCTAAGGATCGGATGCGGAGTGGCAGCAGCGCGAATGAGGTGGGACGGATGGGATGCGAGGAGCTGGGAAATATACGATGCAGCTGGATGGGACGAAATCGGGGGTGGGATGAAATGAAATGGGATGGGATCTTGAGATCAAGGGATGCGATGGTGTCCGTGGCAGGATGAAGGAGTGAGGTAGGGTGGAGAGGGATATGCTTTGTGGTGCGATTAGATGGACAGAAAGTGGCGAGTCGGTGTTTCTTTGTGGTGCGGTTGGTTCCTTATGGCGATTCGCGCGTGCACTGCTGCTTTTCACGAGATTTTGTTTCACGTGGACCCAGTCAGTGCTGGCAAAGGGAGTGTCGGCATACAGTATCTGATGCGATGGGATGCCGAAGATCTGGTTGAAACTGGTGCCACTTGCTCTTGCTTCGTCGAATTAGGGGTGTTTGACCCTAGCTAGTCCAGGTCAGTGTGCACAGCTGTTGTTGTCAACTTCATTTCTAGCCTCATTGGACTAAGCATGTTTTCCTAAGAAATTTCCCCATGTTTTTTTTGTGTGGAATTGACCTTTCTAACCAGGTACAGCCTGCACGGGAGTCAGCGAGAAATGGACGACTTGGCGCTGCCATAACCATCTGCTACACCAATGCTGTCATGTGCCACAGCCATGTTACTACACCATATTATTACCACTATAGCACCATCACATTTCAAATCGAGTACTTCAAGAATAAAAATAGCACCCACCAAAACACTAGCACTTCTATTGGAATGTGGAAAGAATTCTTAGTGGGAAAACGATAAGTGTGTCGAGTCCTAGGGTTGTCAGTAAAATGTAGGGGAGGTGGTGGAGAGCTGCTGGTGTCCCAAGGATGACTTAGCTGCCAATTCTGCACCAAGCATCTGCAGAGAAGCAACACATACCAAGGGAACAAGACAATGTTTCAATGAATTAAGGGTTTATTAAGCAATCAGAGTCAAACGACAAACGACAGGGAAAGAGACAAGGGTACCAAGGGCCAGTAGGGAAGTGATAGAAGCGGAATGCACAGAAAATCCACTCACCCTGTACTTAGGTGCTGCTTCCGCTCCCTTTGTCAAAAATCTTCCACTGCCATGGCCACTGTCCCCCCACTCATCCCCACCCAGCACATAACCCTTCTCCCCACCTCCCCCAACCCCAAGCGCCTCTGCCCCCACTTCCCTCCCTGAAAAGCTACTAGCACAGTCCGAGAAGCTGCCACTGCTGCTCAGCCCTTCGTGTGTGCCGTCCCCGTCCCCGTCCCCATACCCATCCCCATCCCCATCGCCCCATTCGTCACTCTCACTAAACCCCGCCACTTCTGTCGTCGCATCAGTAACACTCCACATCTCCGTTCCTTCGGTAATCCCATCCGCATCCTCGCGATCTGAACCGTCCATCGACCCTCCCCCGCCGGACACCCCTCCTCGCTCTCCCATCCGCCTCCACCTCCCCCCTCTCCGGCTGCCTCTCCTCTGCCCGCCCTCGCTCCGGCACCTCTCCTTTTCCTCGTTATTGTCCCGCCCGGTATAGTCACTATCGCCTTCAGGCTCGTCGCTGCACTGGCTTGAGCCGATAATATCGTCCCACACGCTCAACCCGCCGTCCACACAGGCAACGAGGGAGAGGAGCGAGTCGGAATGGTGGAGAGCAGAGGCGGCAGAGGGCGGGTGAGTGTAAGAGGAGAGCAGCAACGCGTGGATTTTGCTCATGGGATGCACATTATTACTCATGGAGCCATTGATTGAGCTGCTGTTGATAGAGTTGCTCGAGTTGCTGATTCCGCCATTGCTGCCACTGCTGCTGTTGCTGTTGCTGTTGCTTGTTCCTAGGGCGTGTTTCACAGGCAAAGTTCGATCAGGGGACGCGACCCCAGCTAAAGCTTGATCCACCACTGACAGAGCCGCACACACCTCCTCTGCCACCTCCACCACCACTTGCTCCCCCCACTCCCCGCCCTCCCCACACCCCTCACTTATCTCTGCCATTCCAAACGCCTCTCGCCCTCCTGCCACCCCTCCTCCTCCTGCTCCCGCGTTGCCCCAGCAGCCCCACTGCCTCCTCCCGCTGCTGCCAGCATTGGAAGGGGAAGCACCACTGGTGGAGGAGCCTCGAGGGGGAGTAGAGGGGCGGCGGGGGCTGCGAGGCACATCACCCAACCTCCCCCGGCCGTTAGAACCGCCACCAGTCCCGCCTGACTGGCCCCTCCCGTGCACCCCTTCCAATCCCACTCCAACCCCTCCAAACCCATCTGCACCTGCCCCAACGTCCCCAGCACCGCTCCCAACACCCGTGCCACCAGCAGCACCAGGGCCGGTGTTGTTGGTTTGGGAGCGGCGGCGGGAGGAGGGTTTGCGCGTGGAGCATTCGCCACAGGTGGCACAGAGCAGCTGGTCTGGGAAGAGAGGCGGGAAGCCGCAGGCAGAGCACGCGTTGGGCTGCCAGCGCTGCACTCCTGGGAGGATAGGGCCGCCAAACACCTGCACGAGAGAACCAGAGGGATCAGGGGCAGCGGCAGCAGCATAGGGGGACGTTGAAGTGAGCAGAAGAGCCTTGCACAGAGCAGGCGTTGGGCTGCCAGCGCTGCACCCGTGGGAGCACAGGTCCGCCAAACACCTGCAATACAGGGGCAGCAGGGGCAGCAAGGGTGCAAGCAGCATGCGCGGGCATTAGAGTTGACAAAATGACCTTGAGTTGTGATTCTTAAGAGATTGCCCTTGCATGGAGAGCTTAACCCACACACACAGGCAGCCATACATGCATGCAGGCTCGGTACCAAAGCTGCCACCGCACCCGTTTGCAGGCTCGGTACCAAAGCTGGCACCTTACCTGCATGCAGGTTTGGTATCAGTGCAGGTTCTTTCTAAGTGCAGGTTCGGGAGAGACCGCAGTACCTGCCGGAAGGCTTGGTAGTAGTGCAGATGCTCGGGGTCCCGTATCCGAACCTGGTCCTCCCTCTTCACCCTCTGCCTCTCCACCTGAAACTCCTCCCGTGCCATTCGCCTTGCAAAGTGACGCGTCAGTGCTACTGTGCCGGCTCCCACCTGATGTGTGAGGGCGAGAGATCATAAGCATAACCAGGGGAGGGCAAAGAGAGAAGGGGGGACATTGAGTGGACTCGTCTCACCCTCTGCCTCTCCACCTGAAACTCCTCCCGTGCCATCCTCCTTGCAAAGTGATGTGTCAGTGCCACTGTGCCGGCTCCCACATGGTGTGGGGGAGAGAGGTCAGAAGGGCAAGCAGCACAGAGGGGATTGAGTAAACTTAGCCTACTCTCTACTCCATCTGAACTCCTCCCTCCCATCCTGTGTGCAAAGCGGCGTGTCAGTGCCACTGTCCTGGCTCCCACCTGATGGTGAGAGGTGAGTGTAGACGAGGGAAAGCCGAGGAGGGGAAGCGGGAAGCAGAGGAGGGGCGCGGAGGAAAAGCAGATTAGGGGAGGGGGGCAGAAAAGATTGAGTTCACCCAGCCCATGTTCCGCCTCTATCGTTTGCAAACGAAACTCCTCCCGCCCCATTTCCCTTGTGAAGTGAATGCCAATGAAAATGTGCCAGCTCCACGACAACCGACCCTAAACCCCCTCCACCACTCTGCATACCTCGATGGGGTCCTTGGGCCGGCGAGCAGAGACCACTTCAGGGAAGGCCATGCGCAGCAGGAGGTTGCCCTCGTTATAGTCACACCACTCCTCGCTGCGCCCCTCCCCCAGCAGCTCGTCTTTGGTCAGCCCCAACGCGAACTCCTGCAGGGCCGGGTGCAGGAACGGCTGCCGAACCTGCAGGTCCGGAGACAGAGTGGAAAGAGTTGGGCAGGAGGAGGGGGAAAAAAGGGGAAAGAGCAGAGGAAAACTGAGGAAAGAGTAGAGAAGGGAGCCAACACAGAGTAATAGAAGAACTCACGTCTAGGCAAGGTACTGAGACGCTACAAAGCATAGATGTGTTTAGAGGTGAGAGAACCCACCTCAAGACCCAGTGCCTGAGCGAGGTCCCTACAGGGGAAGCGCAGCACATCCACGATGTGGTGCCGACACTCCTGTAGCTTGGCATCGCTCATTCGCACCATGAAGTCAAACCTGGCACATGGGGACAGGTACAGAAGGGGAGCGGTGCAAACGGGGGAGCGGGGGCAGAATCAGACAAACATGCACGCAAGGCGCTTTAAACACTCCTGCAGCTTGGCATCGCTCATTCGCACCATGAAGTCAAATCTGCCACCACGCAGAGGAGAGATGCAAGCGGAGGACAGATGCACACGGGAACAGCAGGCACAAACAGACAACCATGCGTTGAGGTGCCTGAAGCAAACAGGGACAGATATAGCCAGCGAAACCAAGGGCAGATGGTGAAAATGTAATGCTGCCAATCCTATTTCTAACCCTTTTCCCTTCCACCAACCCCCCCCCCCCCCCTCATCCCCTCCCCCATGTGGCACTCACGCTGTGAAGACCTCGTTCGCGCCATCCCCCACCCTCACCGAGCAGAAGCCCTGCCGCTCTGTCCATCCCAGCCCCCCATGCCACTTGTCCTAACTGACAGAACGAGCATAGCCCCTTCCCCTTTCCCCTCTCCCTCTCCCTCTCCCTCTCCCTCTCCCTTCCCCTCCCATTCCTCCCCACAAGGCACTCACGCTGTGAACAGCTCGTCCGCGCCATCCCCCACCATCACCGAGCAAAACCCCTGGCGCTATGCGCATATCCCTCCCCATTCCCTGCCCCCCCCCTTCCCCACAATATAACAACCATAGTCCCTTCCCCCCCTTCAATGCACTCACGCTGTGAAGAGCTCGTCTGCGCCATCGCCCACCATCACGGAGCAGAAGCCCTGCCGCTGTGCGCATATCCCTGCCCTCTCCCATTCCACGCCCCCCCCAATAGAACAATCATTACCCGTCCACCCCCCTTCAATGCACTCGCGCAGTGAAGGCCCTCCCCGTTCCCTGCCCCCCCCTTCCCCACAATATAACAACCATAGTCCCTTCCCCCCCTTCAATGCACTCACGCTGTGAACAGCTCGTCCGCGCAGTCCCCCACCATCACTGAGCAGAAGCCCTGGCGCCCTGCCAAACATCCCTTCCCACTCCCTCCTAAGCCCTCCATTCCCAATGCCCTCCCCAGTCATTCCCTCCCCGCCCCTCCCTTCCCCTTCCCATCCCTCCCCCCCAAGGCACTCACGCTGTGAACAGCTCGTCCGCGCCATCGCCCACCATCACGGAGCAGAACCCCTGCCGCTGTGTGTATACCCTTTCCCATTCCCTCCCCCACGCCCTCCTCCCCCCAGCACTCACGCAGTGAAGAGCTCGTCCGCGCCATCGCCCACCATCACGGAGCAAAAGCCCTGCCGCTTGGCCTCCCTCAGCCCCGCCGCCAGCACCACGCCCATACGGATCTGCACCAGGGCGGGGAGGGGCAACGCGCGGGGGAGAAGGGGAAGGGGCGGAGATGAATACACGGCGGACCCGCCCAGAGAGCCGCTTGGGCTCCCACAAACAGCATTGCGGCAGGGAGCGCTATAGCAACTCTCCAAGAACAATGATGTTGCAGGGTGTTTTTGAGAATTCTCAAACACCCCCCAAGTGCTGCTTGGGCTCCCACAAACAGCATTGCGGCAGGGAGCGCTATAGCAACTCTCCAAGAACAATCGCTCACCTCAGCGGGGTCGAAGTGACTTCTGAGTCGACTCAAAAGTCACCTTTTGAGTCGACTCAGGAGCGCTATAGCAACTCTCCAAGAACAATCGCTCACCTCAGCGGGGTCGAAGTGACTTTTGAGTCGACTCAAAAGTCACCTTTTGAGTCGACTCAGGAGTGCTATAGCAACTCTCCAAGAACAATCGCTCACCTCAGCGGGGTCGAAGCTCTTGAGCACGCGCACCACGAACCGCAACTCCGTTTCCAGCAGATGCTCTGGCTGGCACCCTACCTAGGTCACACCTGGTCACACTGCAAGCTTCAGAACCAACACAGTCACGCGCTCACCTCAGCGGGGTCGAAGCTCTTCAATACGCGCACCACAAACCGCAACTCCGTCTCCAACAGATGCTCCGGCTGAAACCCTGGCCCGCCCCCCACAAACACATGCCCCCCGCTCCCTCCCCCGCCCATCCCCGCGCCCAGCTGACACCCGCGCGCGGCCGCCGCCGCGGGGAGCCTGTCCGCGGCCTTGGGGCTCGCGAGGACGGTGATCGCGGCGGCTATGCTGCCCGGCCAGATGAGTGAGGTGGCGGCGTGCGCGATTATGGTGGAGGCTAGTCCGCCTGAGAGGAGAAGGCAGTCCGCGGGGAGCGAGTCCTCTATGGTCGCGAGGAAGAGCGCGCGCAGCTGCGCCGCCTTCAGCGCCGCGCCTGTGAGGGAGATGGCGGGCGGAGGGGGGGAGGCGGGGGAAGCGTCCTCCTGCTGCTGCTCCTCCTCCTGCTGCGGCTCCTGCTCCTGCTGCGGCTGCTGGTAAAGCTGTGTCGTTGCCTCTGGCTGCGTCTGTTGCTGTGCCCCCTCCTCTAACCTCAACTGGGTCAGAAACAGCTGCTGTATCCGCTCCTGCTCCTGCTCCTGCTCCTGCTCCTGCTCCTGCTCCTGCTCCTGCTCCTGCTCCTCCTGCGCTAATTTCTGCGCCTGCTCCTGCACTTGCTCCTGCGCTTGCGATTCCTCTATCCTCACTCCCTCTTCCTTCCTCTCCGCCTCTATCCCCCCCTCCTCCGCGTCTTTTCCGCCTTTCCCCCGCTTCAGCCCCCACAGCGACCGCCTGGAGCTGCGCCCGGGCGGGGAGGGGAGGGGCGCCAAGGGCTCGGGAGCGGGCGCGGGGGGCGCAGCACTTGCGCCACCCGCCAGGCTGGTAGAAGCGCCAGCACCGGCGGCAGCAGCGGCAGCGGCGGCGGCGGCGGCAGCAGCGGCAGCAGCGGCGGCTGCGGCGCTGCTGCTTGCTGTTGTGACACTTCCCGTGTAACCAGGAGGCGGGCGAAGAGGAACAAAAGCTTCGTTGTTCGCCACCTTCGCCGCCTCTCCCTTGCTGCTCCCCTGCCCTTGCGACCCTTGCGTCCCTTGCTGTTTCCCCCCCACTTTCGCCACCAAAGCTGCCTCCCGCGCCGCTTCCTTCGCGCCCTTAGCAGCTGCTTCCGATGCCAATTGCGCGAACCACCCCTCCCCCTCCTCTCCGCTCCCGCCTCCCCTATCCCCCGCGCTACCGCTCCCCCCAGCGCCCCCCATCCCCGCGTCCAGCCTTCCCCAGTTTCCCCCTGCTTGGTCAACCCCTCCGCCATCCCCCAGGAGCGCGCGCCACGCCCCCACGCACCCGCCTGTTAACTGCGCGTACGCCCTCCCCTCGTACTTAATCTCGATCTCCGGAGATTCCGCGCCTGCTGCCCCGTGTCCCGAGCCCATGACGCGGTTGTTGCGAAACGAGGAAAGGGGGGCGTTATTATCACCGCCACCAGCAACGCCAGAGCGGTTCAATGCGGTTTTATGGTGTGGGAACCGGCGCGCATGAAGAATCTCCACCATGATTTCCGCCGACTCGACTATAGTCGGCCCGGAGTTGTTAAAGTAACGGTCGCCGTCAGCCACGAAGACGGAGTCCGTCTGAACCGCTCTCAACCGGTTCCACTGGGGCAAATCGTCCAAGTTAAGAAACTCTCTTAGAACCGCCTCCATGGACAAGCCGCAGCACATGGCGATGATGACGTCAGGGTCCAAAGATAGAAGGGTTTCCAAAGTTAGCATGGCCGTGCGCTCCCCGGGCTGCAAGCGGAAAAAGGGGGGGGAACGGGGATGAGGAAGGGAGGAAAAGGGGAAAAAGCGGGGAAGGGGGGAATCGGGAAAGGGGGGAAACAGAGTTGGGTGGCGTCGAGGGGATAAATGGGGGAAACAGAAATGATACAAGCGCGTGAGTGTCAAATATAGCCCTGTCTACGCGTGCCTCGGTACCTGCATTTCCCATGTCTCACCTCCCCATGTCTCACCTCCCCCGTGCGTCACCTCCCCCATGTCTCACCTTCCCCGACAGGCTCTTCCCTCCCGCGCATGCGACGATCTCCGGAACCCAGAACCCCGCGCCCATGAGCGGGTGCAGCCACTGCAGGCACACCACGCGCACGCGCGGAGACGACCCGCGGAGCGGAACCTGCCGGCGCACGAGCGACCACCGCGCCTTGAGCGTCTGCACGAGCACGCAGCCTTTCTCCCTGTGCCCGACGGCCGCCGCGACCTGAACCATGTTGTCCCACACGTCCGAGATTGTGATTGGCTTGAGCGACACCACGTGGCACACGTGCCCTGACTCCTCGCGCTGCTTGAAGTAGTCCGCGCACGCCGCCTCGAGGTCCGCTACAGTCACGAGGCACACGTCGCACGCGTCCTGCGTTATAATCACATCTGGCTGCAGTCGCTTTATTGCTTCGACGTCCACGTGGTAACGCGAGAGGCCTTTCCGCACGCGCTGCGACAGCTGCGGTTGGGGAACGGGAGAGCGGGAAAAAGGGAGCGAAAACGGGGAAGGGGGGGATGAGCAAAAGGAGGGCAGGAAAGCTGTGATTATACGAGGCACGACGCGACGACACGAATGTAAATGTTTCCGGGAAGAGTCGTGTTTTGAGTCGACTCAAAATTGAACGAGGCAGGACGCGACGACGACACGAATGTGAATGTGGGGAGGGGGGGGGGGGGGGAGGGGACCTATCGAATTGCCACGCCACAATGCACCCAGATGGTCTGCACGGTTCCGCGAGAGACCCGCGCACGCGAGAGATTAAGAGGGCGGGGAATGAGAGGGTGGCATGGCTGGGGAATGGCTGGAAATGAAGGGAATATGGTGGTAACGTGGAGAGGGGAGCAAGAGAGGGGCCAGGGCAGGAGAGGGGCCGGGGGAGAGGGGGGTGGGGAGGGAAAGAGATTGGAGGGGTGGGGTGGGGTGGGGGGAGGCGGGGAGGGAGGAGGGATCGTCTACGGCTCAACATGCGCGCACTTACCGTATCGTGCGCGGTGCCGCAGCTCTGCTTCTCCATGCCCGCTGCCGCCGCGGGCGCCGTGACGCACGGCAGCGCGAGCACGGACGGCGGAAACTTGCACTCGTGCGACCGCCCCACCAGCAAATGCTCCAATCCTAGCGTCGCCACCACCTCCGTGGCCGCCCCTAGAAGTGATACAACCCTAAGCGACCCGGCCCTACTCCTGTCCCGGTCTCTGTTCCCGCCGCCGACGCCACCCCTGATGCTGCTCGTTACGCTCGCGCTGGTTGCGCCGTTCGTCCCGCCGTGTCGGCCGCTGCTGGCGGTCGCGCTCCCGCTCTCGCTTCCGCTGCTGCTGGCTCGGCTGCTCGCGCCCGAGGTTCGGTCTGACCCTTCGAGGCTCGGCACTGGCGGCTCCATCCGAAGCTTCATCTGCGGGACTGGCGAGGTGCCGTCGTGCTGCTTCGATGAAGCTTCCTTGGCCTTCCTGTGGATGCGCAGCGAGTCAGCCGTTTGGAGAGCCATAGGCGACTCATCGTCTCTAACGGAACGGTCTATAGAGGGGATGCCGTCAACGGGACGCTCCAAAGAGGAGCGTGCTGAGGTGGAACGGGAGGAGGAGGAGGAGAGGGAGGAGGCGGAAGGAACGGAAGAGACTGCGGTGGAGGAAGGAGACGCAAGAGGAAGACAATCGTCGTCAACCCTTGCCCTAGTAACCTCGATAGTTACGGCAGGCGGGCCCGGTTCGCTCTTCCCCGATGCATGGCTCCTAGGCTTATCCTTCTTGCCCTTCCCTTTCCAGTCCAATAACGAGCCTCCGCTGGAGGTTCGGTTAGGCTTGACCCGAGCCTCGTCTGGGATCTCCTCTCCTGCTGGCGGGACATGGTGGCCTTCCGTTGCTGCTAACGTAGGCTCGGCTGTTGCTGCTGCTGACGTGGACTTGGAACTGCCTCCCTTGCGACCATCTTTAAGAAGCGATAGCCAGCTACTGCTCTTCTTACGCGTTAGCGCCTGCTCGAGATGATGCATGGCTAATGTTACGTTCGACGGACAAAATCAACGGACAAGAAGGTTAATCAACAGATAGTGGCGATGTCTACCGCTAATGACTAATGTGGGAAATTAGCGACCCTGTGCTCATCACCTCCGAAGGTAACCTAGAGCCTCTAAACACGTATTGCTGCTGACTGTCCCTAAGATTCTGTCAACAAGAAAGTCACGATGCTGTTTCTTCCTTCGAGTTAGCCTAGGAACAACCTCCCAGAGGTGCATAGCTCGTCTAAAATCGTCTCAGGCGCATGTGACAGGACTGCAAACAAACCAGACTCTCCTCTCTGAGGACGACATTTTCCATAACCAGAATCGAGCTAAGACATGACACTGTAGCTGGGCAGAAAAGACGGGATAGGGTGGACTCCTTCCAAAGGGAGGAGAGATTGAGCGTGAAATTAGGGAGCTTGCTGGTTTGGTTTGGTTAGCAGGATGAGGGGAGGGGAGGTAAGTTGGGGAAAAACAGGTTTGGGAGGGGAGATTGGCTCGGTTGTGTGCCGAGCTGCGCAAAGCGTGGTTGCGCTGCCTTCGTGCTCGGCCCCACTTCGCCCCTACACTTCGATTTCGTCGAGGTCCGGTGCCTAAGCGCGCTCGGTTTGTCCTTCTCCGTAACTGAGCACCAGGCTTGGGTGAAACTTGTATATGCGAGAGCCGGTACAAGTGGCTCTGCATTGCCCGAGCAAAACTTGGCTCAAGGAAGATCCCAAGGGACTGGTTTGGGATACAACCAAATAGCCTCCAAGCCACTGTTATTCATCCGAGCCAAGCAGATGCATGTAAGGAGGGGTTGTGCCTTCTTGCTGAGGCAGGCTAGTATGGTATGACGAAGCAAAAGGGAACGAAACAAGAGCCAATCAGCGAAAGTTCTGCATGGAGCCTCTCGAAACAGCACAGCTGTGCGTTCGATCCGAGCCGATCAGCTGTGCTTTGTGGCATTTACCAAGCAGGCTACGACCTCGGCTTTGTCGAACGGAAAGTGTCATGCGAGGTTTGGGACCCAACCACAGTGACGGCATCCACTCACAGCCAAACCGCGAAAAACGACGTTCTGGCTCGGCTGGGTGGGGCCTCACCCCGAAACCACCGCCGACGAGTTTGATTGGTGAAAGAACCAAGCGCCTCGAGGTGTTCCGAAAGCGCGGGGCCGTCGTCATCCGTGAACCACTCGCGCCGCTTGAAGCTGGGAGGTGACACCACCGAACTGTGACAAAAGCGACTGTCCAAAAAAAAATACTGTACTCTCCTGAAGGCATATCACATTCAATGGCAATATATATTTAGACTGCATGGACTTGCTCTACCAGTTCTGCCCCCCTTCCCAACCAATAGCACGAGCTGTAATCAAGTCCTAACAGCTAGCATGGTTTCAATTTTTTTTTTCCAAAAAAACCTAGAACTCAATTCCAGCATGTTCAGCTTCTCTCCGGCATCTTCATGCCACCACCCCTCTTCCTGCTCTCCAGCCTGTGAGTCGGGGCAAACGCATTGGCAGGGAAAAGGAGGGAGGAGAGAGGTATATGGGAGACAGTAAGGTTGAAAGTTGAAACCACGCGGATCAAAGCAAGCAAAATACGTGGGCAGTGGCAGGCAGGCAACTCACGAGGGGGCGAGCTTCCCCAGGCAGAGCAGGTACTCCCCGGTCTCCTCGTCAACCCAACAGGTGATCTCAATGCGGTGATCTGAATGTGGTAACCGCAGTCAGGCGTGCCCGGTAACAGGTGCAACGGATACAGCAGGAACTGGAGAGACCAGGCAACTCATGGAAAGCGAGCAACTCACGAGGGGGCGAGCTTCCCCAGGCAGAGCAGATACTCCCCGGTCTCCTCGTCAAACACGTTGCCCGTGATCTCAATGCGGTAACCGCAGTCAGGCGTGCCCGGTAACCCTCTCTTCATCAGCCGCTCAAGGTCCCTGTGGTGCAGCTCCCGGCCGTTCACATACACGCGGGTTGACCCGCCGGCGCAGGACACTGGAATTGGCACGCCAAAGTCAATGGCAGGCTGGCAGAGGAATGTGGGGGCAGAGGGGAAACGGGATCAATCAAAGAAGAGGGTCACGTATAAGGGGGAAGGCTCCAGCCTCGAGGTCCCGGTGGTGCAGCTCCCTGCCATTCACGTACACTCGGGTTGACCCGCCGGCACACGATACTGGAATTGGCACACCAAAGTCAATGGCAGGCTGGTGAGAGCATGGGGGCGGGGTGGGGGGTGGGGGGTGGGGGGTGGGTGGAGGGTGGTTCAGGTCCCTGTGGTGCAGCTCCCTGCCGTTCACGTACACCCGGGTTGACCCACCGGCACACGACACTGGAATTGGCACGCCAAAGTCAATGGCAGGCTGGTGTGGGGAGCAGGGGTTCAGAGGGGAGAAGGGGTTGTGACGATGGGATGGGATGAGGAGCCTTGAGGTCCCGGTGGTGCAGCTCCCTGCCGTTCACGTACACACGGGTTGACCCTTAGGCACACGACACTGGAATCGACACGCCAAAGTCAATGGCAGGCTGGCAGGGGGGGATGGGGGGAAAGGGGAATCAAACGAGACGGTCAAGTATAGGTGGAAGGCTCCAGCCTTGAGGTCCCTGTGGTGCAGCTCCCTGCCATTCACGTTCGGGTTGAGCCCCCGGCACATGATTGGGGCTTTGGCACCCCCAAGTCAATGGCAGGCTGGCATGAGGAGTGGGGGAGACACGGGGTAGAAGGGGGGCAGGAAGAGAGGCGAAGGGAAACGAGAGAGGGAAAGAAGAGTAAGTTACCATGGGACGAGAACGAGATTTGGGGAGGAAGGAAAAGGTTAGGATGGGAAGTAGAGTGCTATGGAATGGGCGGAAGGAAGGGGAAAAGGGGGAGGGAGGTAAGCCGCGTGAGAGGAGAGAGAGGGGAGGTTGAAAAGCTATGGAGGAACTTGCATTGTGTAGCAAGGAAGGTGTGAGCCGACATGCTGCGTGCCAGCTCAGCACTTACCAGGCGTAGGTGACCCAGTGTGTTTCGTGCCTGCCAGCTCAGCGCTTACCGGAATGATGCCGAGGCATGGTCCGCCCATCTCACCCCAGAAGCCTGCCACGTCATCATACCTGCCACGAAACGGGGGAACAGAGTACTGCCAATGGGTGCTACCTAAACCACCAGGTCAGTGTGCAGCAGGCAATACTGCCGCATGGTTACCACCGTAACCACCAGGCCATGTGGCAGGCAACCATGTGGCAGGTAACCATGTGGCAGGTAACCATGTGGCAGGTAACCATGTGGCAGGTAACCATGTGGCAGGTAACCATGTGGCAGGCAACCATGTGGCAGGTAACCATGTGCACCAGGAAATAATCCTCAATCCATTCATGCTGTCCTATGTGGTACGCCTCATGTTGCATGCCCTATAAGTAATGATGCTATGTATGCTCCACGCACCATGCACCATGCACCATGCACCATGCACCATGCACCATGCACCATGCACCATGCACCATGCACCACACACAACCCAGCTCTCACCAGTAGTTGCCAGGGTGAATGGGTCCCGCCCGCTGCTCTGCCACAGCCACATATTCATCCGGCAGAGCTTGCCCATTCACCATCACCTGCCGGCTGTGCGTCCGCCCGTGCACCATGGGCATCATGCCATGCACGCATCCGTGCACCATGGGCATCATGCCATGCACGCATCCGTGCACCATGGGCATCATGCCATGCACGCATCTGTGCACCATGGGCATCATGCCATGCACGCATCCGTGCACCATGGGCATCATGCCATGCACGCATCCGTGCACCATGCATACATGCACCATGCATACATGCACCATGCATACATGCACCATGCATACATGCACCATGCATACATGCACCATGCATACATGCACCATATCCAATACCCCACCCTCAAGCCATCTTGCTTGCGCTCACCAGTAGTTGCCAGGGTGAATGGGTCCCGCCCGCTGCTCTGCCACAGCTACATATTCATCCGGGAGTGCCTGTCCATTCACCATCACCTGTCGGCTATACATCATCCCATCCTCCTCCCCCATGCCTCCCCCCATGCCTCCCCCCATGCCTCCCCCCATGTTCCCCCCCATGTGTCCGCCCATGCTTCCCCCCATGCTTCCCCCCGGTCCCCCGCCCATCCCCTGCTGCTGCTGGTTGTGCCCATAAGACGGCGCAGCCATTTCCCCCCCTTCCACTCCCCCTTGCCTGCCCATCCCCCCCGGCCCCCTCCGGCCCATCACCACCCCTCCGCCTCTCCCTGCCCCCATCCTCCCCCCGCCTCTCCCCCTTCCCCCGGGCCCTCTCCCCCCCACTGCTCCTCCCCCTTGCCCGCCCATTCCGCCCGCCATCCCGCCTCCGCCTCCCCCTTCCGCCATATAATCATCAGACTCCCTGGAGAGCGAGCGCATGTGGTGGGGGGCGGGGGGGCCTCCCCCTCCGCCTGGCCCCATACCTGGGCGGAACCCACCCCCTCCCCCTGCGCCCCCTGATCCGCTCATGCTCGCATTACCATCACTGTCATACCCAGTTCCCCCCGCCGCCCTCTGCTGCTGCTGAAGCGGGGAGGGGGAGGGGAAGCGCCCGCTCCCCCCACCACCCTGAAGCTGCTGATTGGGATGCTGAGCTGGCGGCTGCGGCGGCGGCGGCTGCTGACTTGGCGGCAGCTGATTGGCGAAACGCGGGTCAGCAGGGTTGACCTGGAAGCGAGAGACTCGCAGGCACTTGCCGCACCGCAGCTTCTGCACGCCCTTCTTGGCCGGGGGCAGCTGTAAAGGCACTTCCAGTAGCTGGGAGCAGCGCTGGCACTGCAGGGGGGGAGAAAGAGGGGGAGGGGGCGAGAAAGGGACGGAAACAAGGGTTGACCTGGAAGCGAGAGACTCGCAGGCACTTGCCGCATTGCAGCTTCTGCACGCCCTTCTTTGCGGGGGGTAACTGTAAAGGCACTTCCAGTAGCTGGGAGCAGCGCTGGCACTGCGAATGCAAGCGGGGAGAAAGGGTGGGGGGGGG